CAAAAATAATACAAATGCATTATAGTTTAATTTTTTATAATTCATGTATATTTTTAATTTTGTTCTTGTTTTAATTTTAATTTAAAATTGACACGTGTGACTGTGTTAAGTGTAACATGTGTACACGTGTGACTATTCAGTGTAACATGAGTGTACACGTGTGATTGTTCAGTGTAACATGAGTGTACACGTGTGACTGTTCAGTGTAACATGAGTGTACACGTGTGACTGTTCAGTGTAACATGAGTGTACACGTGTGACTGTTCAGTGTAACATGAGTGTACACGTGTGACTGTTCAGTGTAACATGAGTGTACACGTGTGACTGTGTGTGCAGTACGATGTCTAGAAAATTTTAGGTTTCGCTGTTGCCTTCCATATCGAGCTCTACAAAATCAATAATACAAAACATGTACTTTTTCTGTGCAACAATCCATATTTTTGTGCATTTCATTTATTAGTTGTTATAGGTTCTGTACTTTTCAGAGGACATGTTTCCAAAAGAACTCTTCATCCACAATAGCATGAGCAAAGACGACACAATATAAACTTTTAACAGATTTAAAAACACATTATGTACAAATGCATTTAAAAATAACTTGCAATTAAAAAATGCAAGAGAAAACGTTTGTAGTAGAAAGTTATAAGTAAGCAACAGTGAACATTATTTTGCATCTTTGATTCGTGTAACTTAAAATGCTTTATATTATATATTTTATATCTTAAAATACTGATATCTGCATATCAGTATTTTACGGTTTATTGTTTATATTATATATTACATAAACTGTATGGTATATGGGGGTATCGTAGTGGGGACACTAAAGCCCCGAAATCATCTCAAGATAACCTCAAGAAGATCATAATCTTTCCAGTGCTTAGGGCTTCAAAAGGACTTAGTTCGGCCCGGTGTGCCCACCAGCCTTCACTTCACACCAATCAGTTGTTAATAAAACCAATGTTGAACTTTATTACAAAATATATTTGGGAAGAAATAAACGGCACAACGAATTATTACACGTGTTTGTTTTGACTCGTATCCCTTGAAATAATAGATAACTAAATACATACACTGGAGATTGAGCAACTGTATGAATCATTTGAAATACACAGACAGATTTGCCATACCTTAACATGTTTGCATACAAAAATTATGGTAAAAAATGGACGAAGACAGTAAAATAATAATAATAATAATAGTTACAGTAATGTGAAATTATTATATAATTACTATACTATATTTAATTACATCAAAAGTTAGAACACTCTGGACACATGAGGTGTACAATAGTTCAAAAGGGTGGGGGGGGGGGTAATGGATAGGATAGGCATGAAAACTGAAAAGGGAAAGAAAGCAGAGACAAAAATAAAAAGGAGCAAGTCACAGACTCAATAAATGTAGCTATGTAATAAAGCAACATAACTGTTCTTTTTTGTATGAAGAGTGAAAGGTCAGTCGAGCAAGGGAATGTATCAGGACACGAGGATGTGGCGCACTCTCAAACACAGGTATACACAGGTTATGCTCAGCCATGCACACGTGCATTGATCAACAGGAACCTATACATGATCTAGCATACTAATTCGCTCACCATTCATAATCCTTTAAACACCCTCAAACACACACATTCACACTTTGGCTGAACTACACCCATGCATTGAGCCCTAGCAGCACGAGTTCATAGGCATCATTATAAAATACTGAAACATTTCTTACAATATCAGCTGTCAAAAATGAATAATGCAGACCAAGAAGCACTTTAAATTACTGTCAAAATCAAGTCACCAGAAACACCAGCTGTTAAGTATGAAAAAAGAACAAGCTATTATGGGTTACTGTCAAAATAAATAAATGACAGTAGCACCATGAGCCAAAAATGGGCACCAGGACTAAAGCACTTTAGGATCTTGCTTAAATAGAAATTGACAGTAGTACCAGTTGAAAATCGAAAACACATTGCAAGTACTTAATTAAGAGAAGCTGCTGTCAACACTATTGTAGGGGAACAGCCGGGGTGGAAGTAGACAGCGTGGAATGTAGTCATGGTGGTGACCGAGGCTGTGTAGTTGTTTCCTTAATATATTATTAGTTATCACAGAGCAAATATTTACATGCATAGACAAGAGTAACCATCGCGGTTTAGACCAATGTGGAGCAACTACGTTGAAGAGATCATTGGTCATGGATACAAAACAGTGCCAAACGTATAATATGCTTATATATACATGTATTTACAAAAGTTCTTACACACTAGACACACTGTTCATGTAATATGATACATATGCTACTCTCTATAAATAAATGTGTTTGGTGTTTGGTCAGTAGTCCACAGGATTACCTGATCTGGTTGTGGTCTTTCGGGACTGATTACCTCCTAGATAAACAGACAGATTTATAGCTGCATTTACCTATATGGTAACTCATCAGTAGTGATGAAGCAAGAATATGGTCATCTATTAATTAGGCGAGGCCAACCTTAAATTTTGGTAAAAGAACAATACGAATGCATTGTTTTATAACCCTTAAAATTACAAAGATGATAAAACAACGATATGGCAAGATTCTAATGGCACTTCTCATCATGCTAGGAAAATGAACTTCAGGCTAAGAAATGTTCCATAGCAAAAAAAAAAAAAGTTCCAAAAATTCTCTCCAACAATAGTAATGAGCTGATACCAGGTTATTAAAATAAGCTATTTTTTGGATATTGATCGCAAATGTGAAACATATCAAGTTAAAATAAATTGTCCCTTGAAATATCTCACATACACCAACACCAAATATGAAGGTTTTCAACAATGCTGCAGACAAAATTCATCTGGAGGACGCATCATAATTGTGTCCAAGGAGAACGATTAACATGATAATAGTTAAGTTCTACCTGCCACATTCCTCAATGGAAAAGGACCCACCCATCAGAACTTAAAAAAGACATGAATATAACCTGGGGCAATTCCTGAGGGCTGTTTACCACAAGTCATAATATACTGGAATATCAAGTTCTGGAAGCCTACTTGTACTTTTCCAATATTTGAATGGTTGCCCCCCACATATCAACTATATTGACTAGGGAACAGAGGGGTGAAAGGTTCAGACAAAGCCTTACCCGGGTATGAGAAATAACAATACTGGAATGAGGAGGCAAAAGGAGGAGTTGGGTCTGGGAGAGCAACGTGGAATGGTCACAGTGTCTTGGCTATCGAGACAATTTACAGTAAAATGACAGTGAAGAAGTGGCTCACAGAAAATGATGTAGTTTACAAGTGGCATGGAAAATTACAAAGCTTACAAAGAACATGTTTAGACAGGCGATGCCATTAACAAATGACAATACAATTGATAGATAATGTACATGAATAATGACAATTTACATGTGAAATTCATAATGGAAATTTACAAGTGACCACAGGAATAATGGGTTTAATTTACATGTGATAAACTAAGAAAATGATAATTTACATGTAATGGTAGATGATATAGCTTACAATTCCAACCAATGGCGTACAACTTACTACAGCAACAAGTCATCTGAGCTGTAATAGTCAAATGTATGGGAACAAGTGCCATCCACATTAGACTAACAGGTGTGTGTGTGTATTTGTGCACAAATAGTTCCAAAAAGTAGCCAATGAGCTGCACTAAAAGTGTATATGTTCCAAAATACATAGGCAGATAAGTAGTCAAAGCTCATGACATCAAGTGAACATGACAAGGTACAGAGTAAATGCTTATTAATCTTCATACAACATTTACGGTATCATAATCAATACTCAACACACAAAAGACGTGATTGGTAAAAAAAAGGTCAAAACAACACTTGATATGAACTCCAGGTCGATACTCATGACTATATATCTATAGTGGCAAGTAGTCATATAATTAATGCTCTCACTGGGAGAAATACTGAAGGAAGATATTTGGAGGCCACAGGTCAGGAGTAATATGAAATTTTACATAATGGGATTCTTTTTGTCAGTTGACTTGATCTGTTTGGTACAGCTTTATTAAATACGATAAATGAAGTGTAGGGAGATGGGAGCATTTAACAAGAGTACCTAGCTAGAAATAAAATCAAACTGGAAATATCACAAATTATCTTCAGCCATGGATCATAAAATATTAACACTGGCTAAACAGATCTCCCAAAATGTCCAGATCAATACTTGATGTTATCAGCAAAAACTTATCTGGTGTGTGTATATATATATATATATGACAGTGTCAGACCACGAAGGAAGAATTGAAATAGGTATTTCCTTAAGTACTTTTGTATATTAATACATCTTCAGAAGGAATGTTCTTCTGAAGATTCCTTCTGAAGATGTATTAATGTACGAAAGTACTTAAGGAAATTCCTGTTTCAGTTCTTCCTCCGTGGTCTGACACTATCACATTTTCATCACGTGTTAATTTTCGTGATTTACACACACACACTAATATACAGTATATATATATATATATATATATATATATATATATATATATATATATATATATATATATATATATATATATATATATATATATATATATATATAATATATATATATATATATATATATATATATATATATATATATATATATATATATATATATATATATATATATATATATATATATATATATATATATATATATATATATATATATATAGCAAAATGTACTGTAATGTACTCCAGTTTGCAAATAAAGACCCACACGCCACTCATTCGTGATTTTGCAATTCCGTAAAATTATCATCATGATGAATATATTATTTACAAAGAAAATAGGGATCAACCCTAAAGTTACAACGCCAGTATCACTTCCACCAGAAACAACTTGTTAGTGGTGGTACATTCACCCATATTTTCATTACTTTTCAACAAAGTTTGTTTTTCCTGTACATTTTGTGAAAAAATACAAAGACTAGATATATATCCCATTCATAATAAATTCATTCCAATGTAAAAAATATTTTCCATTTAATAAATTTCAAGACTTTGTTTCATATGTATATGCAATACGTAATAAATCAAAATATAATCTATCTGTACAACACTTTAAATAAATTCTATTAAAAAAAAAAAAATAATAATAATACAGTACTCTAAAATCTTCATAACAACTTTCCCTCTAAAAATAATATCTAAAATTAGTCGATGTCAAGCACGGCAACGCGCTCACTACCTCAGAAGTTCACTGACACTGTTCTCTTCCGGAGAGGTCCAGGGGAACCCGTGGGAGACGTATGTGTGGAGGAAGTAAGGGTCAGCCACAGTCCCACACACCTGCTCAGCGAGCCCCACCTGTGGACACACCAAATATATAGTTGTTTAAACAGCCTGGTAGCAATGGGTGCTGATAGCGCAACTCGCTCTCGCACAAGACAGTCCATATATGACTTATTGCTTGTAGTCATTATTTTGCGAGAACGGGTTGGATAGCGATATACATTATGGGGGGGAGTAGTAGGGGGGCTAAGTAGTTGGGTTATCGGTTGAAGCATGAGGAAGGGAATCGTTAGGAGAAAATACCAAGCCATTACGACTATATAGCACTGGGAAGGGGTCAGGATAAGGTTTTGGGATGGGACAGGGAAAGGAATGGTACCCAACCACTAGGACCATCGGGGATTGAACGCCGACCTGTATGAAGCAAGACCGTCGCTCTACCGTCCGGTCCAAGTGGTTGGCAGGGGGGAAGGGAATGTGGGGGGGGGGGCTAAGTAATTATGTTGCGTTATCTCATGTTGGTAGCTGTGTTACCTTGGAGACAAGGACACATGGTAGGTTATGAGAAATGGGTGATCAAATCCCTAAAATATTTTTTTTACACAAAAACTGCAAACAAAGACAGATCTGATATATAGTGCTGGAAACTGAAAACGTAAAATGTATTTTGTGAAATAAAAGCTAAAGCAGTTCTAAATTATTCCTCGAATCACTTCAATATAAATAATGGTATAGTAATACATAAGCACATAGTGAAGTGTGTTATAAAGAAATACATGCTGTACATTTTATCATTTACATTCGTATGCATGTATTATACATGAATCTTATCGTAAGCACGTTAATTCACATCATGCTCTCCTGCACACACAATCCAGGAATTGATAGGGTAGATAGGGATAAACTGTTTATCACGGGTGGTACGCGAACAAGGAGAGACAGGTGGAAACTGCGTACCCAAATGAGCCACAGAGACGTTAGAAAGAACTTTTTCAGTGTCAAAGTAGTTAATAGATGGAATGCATTGGGGTAGTGATGTGGTGGAGGCTGACTCCATACACAGTTTCAAATGTAAATATAAGAGCCCAGTAGGCTCAGGAATCTGTACGTCAGTTGATTGACAGTTGAGAGGCGGGACCAAAGAGCCAGAGCTCAACCCCCGCAAGCACAACTAGGGGAGTACACAGAATCATGTCAATGGTGCAGAAAAATGGCGGGAAGGGGACTCATCAGGGGAAAGCGCCAAGCCATCACGACTATATAGCACTTGGAAGGGGGATCAGGATAATCGCGCACAAATCTCCAGTATCAGCTATTGTTACTGGTAATGGCTCCAAAGAGCCTCCACTTACGGGCAATTCATACCCACGCCACCTTTTGGGTTGCTTAATCTTTATCAATCTCTCAATCAGGATACGGATTTGGGATGGGATAGGGGGAAGGAATGGAGCCCAACCACTTGGATGGTCGGGGATTGAACGCCGACCTGCATGAAGCGAGACTGTCGCTCTACCACCCAGTCCAAATGCTTGGAACCACTGTTTAAAAACAAAGAGTACAGTATGTAAACCCACCTGGCAGCGTCGCTCAGCTGACGTGCTCGCTGGCCGTCACCATAGCGACACGACACCACCATCTGTTCAGAGTTCTGCCACACGCGGTAAGGCTGCACGATCAGCTGGACATGAAAATTTAAAAGCTTAAGTCCCATCCAAAGAAAACATTCAAATTACCTAAGCGAAATCATTGCATAGCCATTCTTGTACAAAAAGAACTTAAAACTTATTTAACAGTTTTAACTCGACTATAAAACTTGTGTGTAAGCTAAACCAAAGCAAATCAGCAGAAATAAAACTTATCACAGAATGCAAGATGATCTGCAATGGTGACGTACCTTCAGAGCTGCTGAGGTGACCTCGCCCGCGGCCATAGGTGGCTTGTGCACATCCCTGGAATTGTTGACCCTGGCGGTGACGCCCTCGTGCCAGTAGTCCTTCAGGGGCTGCCGGACAGCCCTTTGGCGCCCGTCCTTATCCCTGAGCAGATGCGCCAACTCTAGCGTCGCCAAACTAGGCTCTGTTGGAGCCACAACATATATATAGTCATACTACTTTTTTCAGTGTGCGAAAGACAAATCTGACTATTAAATTTCTTCACATAATTAATTATGCAAGCTTTGCAAATAGGCTAACGTGATCGTTAACTAGGGAGCCTTACATAAAAAATTAGCGCTTTTACACTTGGTAGACACTAACGTCAGGGGTGGGTGAAGGTGGGAATTATTGGACGGTGAGGTGGATGTCACCACGAGAGGTCGTTGGGATGGAAGGGCGCAAGGAAGCGGTTGATGGATGGAGGTTAGGAGCCGAGGAAGTGGCGGGAAGGGGAGCCAGGGGGGTGAGTAGACAGCTAGAAGGGGATGAGGTGAAATGTGAGGAGTGAGGAAAATGTGGGGAAGTAGCGAATGGAAGGGGTGGGGGAATGTGATGTGGAGAGGAATAAGGAAAACGAAGGGTATGGTAAGGTAGGTGATATGGGAGCTGGCGGCATCAGAGAAGTGTTAGACTGGCGTGCTGGGAGAGGTCATAGGGTGCGTTACTGCTTGGCCAGCCAGACACTTGGGGCTCGTCTTGATCTACCGTGTCTAGACTTACTTATACACGTAAATACTTTTGTACGATGAAAGAATCCATAGTACTCAAGATGAATACTGGACAAATGAACGGAATTGCAACTATCCAGGACATCTACGTAAAAATGCGTTGTTCTCGCCTCAAGATTTGGCAAGCCACAACTTACTGCCTTATACTTTACGCCGTGTAATGATGATAATACAGTGTCAGCTAGCTTATGTAACTAAAACCCTATAGTTTTCGCTTTCAAAGTTTTCAATAAACATGCAACAAAATAAATTTTGCCTCGAAGGATGAATTTAATTTTCTAATAAGTGAAAAATATGTGCTTGGCGGTACAGGACACAATATTATAACAACACTCAGCGCCTCGGGCCTTTAATGTGGCGCAGTATATTGTTTTGCTAATATAATGATATATCAAAACATATATGTTTACAGCATACTAAAGCTACGTTGCAATATTTATAAGTCATATAACTGAAAACAAAAATTTACACACTTACTTTTATTTTTGGGCACGATGGCGATACCCCAGTGGTGATGAAGTTTAATATTGAACTCTAGGATATCGCCAGAGCGGACCTGCGACAGTAGTTTCTCAGAGTTCTGTCTGGTGAACCATGGCGTCAGCAGCATGAAGTTAGAAGGCATCTTTTTGGCCTCTTTCTCTTGTTTCTCCTTTGCTTTCTTCGCTGCTTTTTTGTCAAGGACTGGGGAATGAGGGGCGGACAGGGATAATGGGTGGTCATCTTTCTTCCTGAGGAGGGAGAGGTCGGAGTGCACGGTGAGGTTGCCGGTAGACTGCGTGAGGCGCGCCGCGGACACCACAGCCGTCGCCGCGTTATGTCGTCGGGGCGAACCTAACATGTGTCCTCCTCGGTGTTGTGACGGCAGGCGACACAGACGGTCGGTACACTCCTTTGGGTCGACGTCACCGATGTGAAGACCTTCCTGCTTGCTGTGAGGTGGCGGCAGAGGGGGTAGTGGGTCCAACGTTGGGGCGTCGGCAGCTTGTCGCATCGGTTCCGCCTGAACACAGCTAGAGCGGGAGAGGTTGTGGATGAGTTGAGAACGCCTCGAAACTAACTGACGCTCCAGAGATTGGGCGTACATTGTGCTCACTTGCATCATGGTGCCGGTTTATCTTGGCTTTTCTCACACCTGGATATTGCGGCAAAAGCTCGCTTATCTTGATTGCAACCGCTTCGTTCAACTGTTTAAACTTCGCGCGAACTACGGTGGCACCCGTTCGTTACGTCACTAAATGATAACTGAGAATCTAAGATTATTAGTCACTACTGTTACCAGTGTTCCCAAAACTTAAATAATACTAAATTTTATTTTTTTAGTAACACACATGCAGATAAATGAATGAAGGCCCCCACCTCCACTCTAATCTGCAGAAGGCATATGACAGTCGGCTGCACGGTAAACCAACTTTAGGAACAACCGGTGTAATCAAGTTTGAAGTTATATAAACACCGCTATTTCACTTTCTGGTAGTAAAGACTCTAATACTATGGGATTTAATGCAATGTTTTGTGGTCTCACTCGAGCACCTCTCAATAGAATTAGCGTGGATGAAATCTGGTAATCGACTGAGAAGAAGCGTGTACTCTCGACGAGTATATATAGCGGTCTGGCATGTGACTCTCTCCGACCTGCCGGACGCACGAGGCGGCAGCGTCTGGCAGCGAGGTAGAGCGACTGGCGTAACATTCCTGGCAGACCCACTCTAGAGGGTCTCCATGTAACATAGGGAAGCTTGCTGCAATCTGGGAATTAGGTCAAGCGTTCGGCTGGCAAAACAAAACAGTCTACAGATCCCCCGTAGAATAAAAATTTAAAGGCAGAGTGGAGGCAATACCGCCATTACTTGACTAATCAATGCTATCGTGGGAGCTGGCGAGGCCCTATTGGTTATTATTTGACAATTTATGAATTCATATAATATAAAAAATAAAAATATAAAACAATCATACGGTCATAAAAATTAAAGACTAGCACAAAAGTATCTGAATAAATTGCAGTACCAGACACACCTGAACACTCTCCACCTCCCCACATTCGCGGCATCAATATTGCCTTGCCTCAACCATCCAACCAGCCTTACTCTTCCACATTCACAGCAACCATACCTCGCAACAATCGCCACAACTCACCCCGGCACCCATCCTCGCTATCACCAGAGCCACCACCCATCCATTCCCACAATCACCTGAACCCACCATCACCTCAACCCACCACCCATCCATTCCCACCATCACCTGAACCCACCACCCATCCATTACCACCATCACCTGAACCCCTTCCCGCCAGAACCACCATTTAATCCCCCGCCAACAGCAGAACCGCTCATCCCCAATACCATGACCACCTCAACCACCCATTATCAGCATAACCACTACAGAGGTGATATGATTGCAACATAAGATGCTGATGGGAATAGACAAGGTGAATCATGGCTGACTCTTTTTAAATTTAGAGAAAGTAGGACAAGACATATGTAGACGCTAGAAATGAAAATGAGTCGAAGAAATTTAAGGAAATATTCGTACTCTGTGCGGGTGGTCAACAAGTGGAATGCACCTAAGGCAGAAGTTATGAAAGCCACATTCATCCACAAATTAAAGGCCAGATTCGACATTAAGAATTCGAAAGTCAGGAAAGTTAAATTACAATGCATCAGGTACAACAAGGCTAGAACTCTTTCTTGCATTATAGGTAAGCACCGTTATCCATTTTCGCCTTCACAACCCCTACTACCACCTATCCATACCACAATATACAGCTACCCATCACCACATAAATTGTCTAGCTTAGAATGCGCAAGATGGGAATGGGTTTAATAGTAAACTAATTAAACTAACTAAAATTAATCAAGATTGTAACTTGCTTTGCTAAACGAATTTTGGGCTCGATTCCCAAGCCCCTTATGAGCCTCTAATCTTTTCCACCGCCACCACCACCACCACCCACAGAATGGGTATTTGGTGCATGATAAATAAACTGAACTAACCATCCACTACCACATAGACAGAGCCCCATCACCGCAATAATCTAGCCTCACCCCACTACAATAACTTAGCCCCACTCCATCACATTAACTAACATTGCCCACTCACCACCAAAATAATCAAACCTAGCCCCATCACATCCACCTAAATAACCAATCTAGCCCCACCACCACCGGAATAACCAACCTAGCCCATAACCACCGCAATAACCAACCTAGCCCACCACCACCGCAATAACCAACCTAGCCCACCACCACCGCAATAACCAACCTAGCCCACCACCACCGCAATAACCAACCTAGCCCACCACCACCGCAATAACCAACCTAGCCCACCACCACCGCAATAACCAACCTAGCCCACCACCACCGCAATAACCAACCTAGCCCACCACCACCGCAATAACCAACCTAGCCCACCACCACCGCAATAACCAACCTAGCCCACCACCACCACAATAACCAACCTAGCCCACCACCACCACAATAACCAACCTAGCCCACCACCACCACAATAACCAACCTAGCCCACCACCACCACAATAACCAACCTAGCCCACCACCACCGCAATAACCAACCTAGGCCACCACCACCGCAATAACCAACCTAGCCCACCACCACCGCAATAACCAACCTAGCCCACCACCACCGCAATAACCAACCTAGCCCACCACCACCGCAATAACCAACCTAGGCCACCACCACCGCAATAACCAACCTAGCCCACCACCACCGCAATAACCAACCTAGCCCACCACCACCGCAATAACCAACCTAGCCCACCACCACCTCAATAACCAACCTAGGCCACCACCACCGCAATAACCAACCTAGCCCACCACCACCGCAATAACCAACCTAGGCCACCACCACCGCAATAACCAACCTAGCCCACCACCACCGCAATAACCAACCTAGGCCACCACCACCGCAATAACCAACCTAGCCCACCACCACCGCAATAACCAACCTAGCCCACCACCACCGCAATAACCAACCTAGGCCACCACCACCGCAATAACCAACCTAGGCCACCACCACCGCAATAACCAACCTAGCCCACCACCACCGCAATAACCAACCTAGCCCACCACCACCGCAATAACCAACCTAGCCCACCACCACCTCAATAACCAACCTAGCCCACCACCACCACAATAACCAACCTAGGCCACCACCACCGCAATAACCAACCTAGCCCACCACCACCTCAATAACCAACCTAGCCCACCACCACCGCAATAACCAACCTAGCCCACCACCACCACAATAACCAACCTAGGCCCCGCCACCATCATCTACCTTTTAGCCACTTTCCTTAATCATTTTTTTTAATCTTTTAGAATGTCATCTGTCACATCCGATTTATACAGCCCGTGATCTCATTTATTTTTCCGCCATCCACAAGTTAATTTGAATCCCTCTCCCAGGAGCTCTCACTGTTGCTCCCCATCCTCCCCTTTCCCTCACGAGCCATTAGTGTTGCCTCTCACCCTATCCCTCCCCCCCCCCTCACTAACCATTCCTTCCTCCCATCCCATCCAAAATCCTTATCCTGACCCCTTCCAAGTGCCAAAATATATATCTGAACATAGTTCCTAACTAAAGTAAACTCTCATTGTATATAACAGACACGGGTGTGTGTGTGTGTATATATATATATATATATATATATATATATATATATATATATATATATATATATATATATATATATATATATATATATATATATATCCTGGTGAGGCAAAATGCCGTAATGCTAGTTCATTGGTCACCCATCCCTGAACAATTGTACAGTTTCAAATGCTGGTATTTCCTCTCAACAAAAGCGCTAGAGGATCGGCAGTTAAAACAAAAATTGCTCAGTTGTCTTGCTAGTCGATACACAAATCGATTCCCAAATAATGAGAATAATTAATGTCTTTTCAAGTTACTCCAGGCGCAACGCAACGTTGAGTAAAGAATTTACCAGCGATGCAGGCGTTTATACACCGAGCAACAAATATTGAAAGGGGCATTCTTCACCTAGACGTAAAACAAAATAATATTCCCCCCCTCCCCTCCCTCTTGATGGTGTAGGTGTAAATTTAATACAGCAACCTCCCTCCCCTTATCACATCCCTCTTTCTCACTGCCTCATTGCACAGAGGAAGTTTCAATGCAACAGTGCAACAGCCCCTCTCTTTCCATTTTCCTCCCCCTCCCCCCACCTCTCTACACCTTCATCCGTTCCCCTCTATATCTCCCATCTACTCTCTCCACTTTTCCTCCCTCTACATCTCTCTCCCACAGTTTGCAGACAGGGACATAAAACCACTGAACTTCATCAGCTAGCCATTAATCGAAATCAGAAGACCCAACGCCAGAAAGATTACGCCAATCGACAATTGCCCACTCCCATAGCTTGTGGCCCAAGAACTTAGATCTATCTAGACGAGGGCAACAAAGGCCCCTCAATACATAATTCCATACAAGAATCACTATTTTCCTAAAAAAAAGAAAAGTCCTTAAGAAGAACAGCAAAACATTTTCTTAAGTATCAGAAATTTCATAAGTATCAGAGTAAAAATATATGAATGCTACAGGATTCATCTATGCATCTCACAAATGCTGAAATATATGTAAAAACATTACAAGCACTCACCAACCATCTCGCAAAACCAGAGCATGTTTACCTTATCTACCAAACGCACACAAATGGTATCAGCAAGGCCGTCATAACTCGCTATATATTCAATTTTTTACAAACTTTCCTTCACCTGTACCTTTCTCACACACACACACACACACACACACACACACACACACACACACACACACACACACACACACACATACGCAAACAAAGCTGTAGCGTTCTCAGAAGGTAGCCTCGGTAAGGGTCACATGGTCCTCTTATCTGTTTTTCCCCATGTACTCGTGTGTGTAGGCTGCTTACTAACGACCTTTCCTATCTCCCACACTATCAATTTATCCTCCAAGTTTATATCAATTACTTACCAACCACAAAACATCTTCACGGTCTGTTTCAAAGTCAGACGAGCACCTGGAGTAAATACACTACACTGAATAAAAAATGAAGATCAATTACACGCAAATGAAATCATTTCAATTCAGAGCAAATTATCCGTAGCGCCCAATACTCTATGGTATAATGTACCGCCACAAACCAGTAGACTTTTTCTACCAAACTTATATAAATCCTTAATGATTATTGTTTGGTTAGTGGAATAATCTTAATCATTAACATTGCTTTTGCTTATATGACTACTACGTAGCCTACAATAAATTGTTAATACAACCACATAACGGCGTTAATTACGTAAATTTAACGATAAGTTCATTAGTTAACCTTACCATTTACATTCCCTACTATTGTACAGTTTTCAAGATTAATGTTATCCTAGTCATTAGCCTTGCTAGACTGAGTAAGGTCTTTTGCTGGTGTTGAGACAATGAAGGTCACTGACGGCACTAACCTTGTCTGTCAAGATAGAACCTTTGACCAATAAAACGTATTATTGCTTTTAATTTCCCTATAAAGCGGTTTTTTACCATTTTTGAACTTGATTACGTAATAAATTAAACTCCATACGAAACAAATTAAT